AAAATAAGAGGCAGAAAATCTATCAGAATTGTCATCAGTGGAGAAAATAAAAAAGATTAACTCAAAAAAGATGCAGATATCTCATTGTGGAAAAGTTGTAACCCCACTGAGAGATACAGATTCTTTGTTTCCATGCTATTCCCATTTCCTCATCTTGAGTCCTTCAATGTGACTCCCTCCCAAGAGTCCAGTCCATGGCTCCTATTACCTACATAAACCAACCAACCAAATTGCCATTTGTGGGCAGTGGTCTCAGATCTGATGGGGGCAAGACCAAGAAGACACATTCTGCCCTCTTTGAGCTTAGTCATTGGCACTAGACAGTCCTCGGTTGTTGAATATGTGTTTTTTCTTCCCAACTAGCATATGACCCTCTTTAGAAAATCTACCTTTCATTATATCCATCCACTACCTTTATTGAGTCATGTTTATGGAGAATTTAAACCACAGCTCAAAATGATCGCTTGCTTCACCAGTTGAAATGTTTTTCCTTTTAGGAGTATTTTAAAATTTCCATTCATAAAATATTTATGGAGTGTGACTAGGTTACTGGACATCGTGCAAAGGACTGGGAAAGCCCCTGTGACCACATCAGGTTTTAGACTCAAGAAGATTAGAGAAAATCCTTGAACAGCTGCAGAATTTCCATACCCAAAGCGATGATTTGCCAGCAGGCATCTGACACCAGCTACAATTTACTAGAGAATTTGACATTGGCTGTACTTTTTGTTAATGACTGGACTCTATTCTGGTCATAAATTAAAATGACCTCAAACAATGACTCCTGGGCAACTGAACCCAGGTTTTCATGTATGGTGCGCCCTAGTCAGGAAGCATAATCTTCCCAGTGATGGTTGCAAAGGATGGTGGAGGATGGCATGCAACATTTACAATGGGAATTTGATGACCTGTTACAGTTTATGATATTGGGCCATCTTCATAACACATAGCTACAGGCAGCAATTCCTAGTTCCTTTAAAGCATCACAGGCTAATAAAGAGTGCATTTACATTTGCTCTTTATTCTTTTAGTACAATTTGACTTCTCTCCTGCTTAAGCTGCTTTCTTCTCTGAGACAATTTATAATGTCAGGAATGCAGGTACAAGGATAGATGAATAAGTAATAAAGTTCCAAAGGAACACTTAATGTTAATTTATGATGCACCATTTGTAGGCAATCTGAATGATGTTATTTCAAACAAAGGTAACTAGTGGGACATTAATAGCCAGTGAATGTATTTTTGCTAATTCTAATTCTGAATAAATCACTGCATAGCAGAAGGGATTGTTACCTGGTTAGTAGTGTTCTTTATTCTCCACAATTTTCATAATTTACCTTTAATATCAAAATATCATAGTAACTGTTTTAAATCAATTTCCAGTTTTCCTTCTATGTGTACTAAAATACACTAGACTTTGGATTCTAATAAAGGAAACAAGTGGCTCAGATATACTTCCAAATGCTAGTCTAGCCTAGTGTTATTTAGTCAGGCTGGCATGCTCCCACATGCCCGATAAGTAGATAATCTGATAAAAAAAATCATTTTTGCTTGAATTATCTTTTCCCCACCTCTTTTTCTTGTATCTGAGTTAATTGACTTGTTAATTAACTATGTGTGTGCAGTCTCAGCCTAAAGACCAGGGAACAAAGCAAAATTCCACCAAGTTTCCTGGTATTATCCTTTGCCGTAATAACTGGCAGATGAGTTTTACTGTCCAGAAACAAGGAAACATTTAATAGTTCTATTTT